TTTTATTTACAAATAGGACACACTTCGGACAATGTTTTTATATTTTATTTACCAATAGGACACACTTCGGACAATGTTTTTATATTTTATTTACCAATAGGGCACACTTCGGACAAGGTTTTTATATTTTATTTACCTATAGGACACACTTCGGACAATGTTTTTATATTTTATTTACCTACAGGACACACTTCGGACAATGTTTTTATATTTTATTTACCTATAGAACACACTTTGGACAATGTTTTTATATTTTATTTACCTATATAACACACTTTGGACAATGTTTTTATATTTTATTTACCTATAGGACACACTTCGGACAATGTTATTATATTTTATTACCTAGAGGACCCACTTCGGACAATGGTGTCCTGTAGGTAAATAAAATATAAAAAGCTGGGGTATTTCAGTTTGTCAGAACAACACCAACAGATATTATTGATTAGAACACAACTTTGCTGCTGGTGCTGGGGTATTTCAGTTTGTCAGAACAACACCAACAGATATTATTGATTAGAACACAACTTTGCTGCTGGTGCTGGGGTATTTCAGTTTGTCAGAACAACACCAACAGATATTATTGATTAGAACACAACTTTGCTGCTGGTGCTGGGGTATTTCAGTTTGTCAGTTTGTTCTAAAGTGTTTTGAAATATTCACAAAATTCTATTTAAATCTTTTGCTTACAGTTTGAAATAAATACCATGTTAACTAGCTGAAATGTTGAAAAAAACATGGATAACATTAGAAACCATTTTCAAGAAATACTTATTTTTAGGGGGAAAAAAAGGTGTGATATGAACAATATTTGATTTACAAATAAACAAGCATTGGGAAAACACAACTTCCTTAAGGGTATAATTCTGGAACCAAAAAATGGAATAATTCAAAGAGCTCTGTATAGTAAAATCACCCTTTTTTAGTTTTTAATTGTGTGTAAAAAACAATAGTTTTGACATTAAGAGGTTTATATTCTAATGGACAGTAGTAGCTCCAGTTTACCATACAAATAGTTAATAGACCCCGAGTCTCTAGGAGACTTGTTTTCATACAAACTTTCAACTTTTTTAGCCTTCTCCACTTTGGGGTTACAGTGACAATAAATTTTCTAAATGCTTTTAAGAGTAATGGGTTTCTAATTTTGATCAGAGTTAGGATAATAAACAGCATTTCATTATTCAACAAAATCCTCAGAACATGCAGATTCAAACGTTTTATTTCGCAGCTTAATAGTCATTCATTTGTTAATTACAATTAAAAACTGCTGTTAAAATATTTTTGTAGCTTTGAATGTTTGATTGCTTCAAATGATTTCCACTGGAGAGGACTAATCAGGTGAGAAATACTATTTTGTTTTATTTGTTTGTTTGTTGTTAAGCACAAAACTACACAATTAGTTATCTGTGATGTGCCCACCACGAGTAGAGTATCAAAACCCAAGTTTTAGCATTTTAAGTCATCAGACTTACCAATGAACCACTGGAGAGCAGAAAAAATATTAAGAATATTTTTAATGAAAAGTAAAAACATATGAACTTCATCATACTCCGTTTAAGAGACTATAAAAAGAGTAATTTTTTTTATCTATCAGATATCAAATTATGGAATATTCTCATTAATTAACAGATGTACAGTTTAAATAAAAATTAATTACAGTATTTAGGTTATACACGTTTTAATAACTTTATTTCAGAATCATAACTTAGACTGTTGTTTAAAATTTATTTAAATGTATGTCTATAGATAGACATTATACTTACAATTTCCAATTATTTGTAATGTTGTATACAAACACCCTGCATGTGATAAATATTATGTTCATTTGGGGGCATTAGTGTAGTGTATAAATATACCATGAATTTTTAACTTCTTGTATTAATACAATATTTTTCTAAATTTGTCCCTTATATCTGAGTATATGAAGTTTTCACAAAACTTGTGGTCAAGAAAGTCGTTATGTTAATAGTGTTCTAGCAACTTTTGTTCCTTCTCATTCTACTGAGGTCATATCAGGCATAGCTGTTATGGTGCAACTTGTGTAAGAATGAAGATATCAAAGGTAGTTCAGATAGTATCTTGAGGTTACAACCTCTCCTACACTTCAGTAAGTATGAACAGTCATGTGCATAGCACTAATCACTTTGTATGGATTCAACATTACCTGTGGTGTAATAAACTTTGAATTTAAACAATCTGGTAGATCATCTCAACCTGAGCAGTTTGAAAGAAATTTATCTGATCCAGTAGAAGAAACTGTTCCCCATATAAAGCAAGTACACATCATGTGTTTTGAATTAACAAAGATTGTTTACTTATATTTTACATTGTGTACAGTCCTTTTATTTTGTTCTCATGAACTCAGATATTCAGTACTACTTTATACTAAATATCTTGTAGAACCTTGTAGTTTTGCCTAAATATATCACATTAGTATATATATAATGAAATAATTTGTTCTTAATGAAATTAAATTCACAAAATACGTCATTCAGGAGCAACCAGGAACTTGTGATATAATTGCTTTTTTGACAACAATAATATATTAGTTTTCATTAACAGTTTCGTGGTTAGGGAGCTCGACTCGCAATCTGCAGGACGGGGGTTCGAATCCCCGTCCCATCAAACATGCTCGCCCTTTCAGCCGTGGGGGCGTTATCATGCGACGGTCAATCCTACTATTTGTTGGTAAAAGAGTAGTCCAAGAGGTGGGTGGTAATGACTAGTTGCCTTCCCTCTAGTCTTACACTGCTAAATTAGGGACGGCTAGCGCAGATAGCCCTTTTGTCGCTTTGCTCCAAATTCAAAACAAACGAACAAACAATTAACATGTTCATTTTTTGTGTTTCTAAAATATCTCAATTTCCTATATACTTTTAGACATATTTTTTATATTGTGTTCTTTACGACAGTAGTTGAAATGAAGCTCTCTATTAAATTTTGCTGAAGTTTCAAATGTTAGAAAAGAAGCAAAAGCAAAACTAATAAATATTTATCAAGTCAAAGATACAAGTATCTCAGTGAACACTTGCACAAAAAACGTTACTACAGCTAAAAAAATTATAAAACTTTGTCTGGAGTACTATAAAGTAGCATATTTTCTTGAGGTAAAGAAATATAAAAACATTGTCCGAAGTGTGTCCTGTAGGTAAATAAAATATAAAAACATTGTACGAAGTTCATTTATTAGCAGAACAATAAGGAATAACATTCTACATATGTCCACCTAGTTTCATCAAAAGCTGATAATTTTTGACTGAGTTAGAGAGCAAATATAGTGTGGAAAAATCATAACCTACGTTAACAAATATAGATTTTTTTGGATTTTCGAGATCTTGACACTCCAAAAACTAATCACTTCTAAGTTGGGTCATAGTCCAAATGTATACTGACTTTCATTCAAATCCATTCAGCTGTTTCCGAAAAATCTTGCTAACAAACAAACAAACACACACAGATGGGTGGTAACTTGATCTCTGTCCACCTTCGGTGGCAGAGGTAAAAAATTCAGAAAGTTTGGTACAGAAAAGAATTATTAAATCCTGCATTGTTTTTTCAGCATGGTTGGTGATACCAAAGATATAGCTATGAGTCAAATAAGTTTGTCTGAATTTATTCAAAGTTCGGGCAACCTTATGTATACAAAAGTCACTAATAAATAAAATGCTGATTTTAAATTACCTGGGAGCTCACACAAAAAATTGGAACATATGCATAGATATGTAACTCTAAACCTAAGAAAGGTTTCTTCTGGTTATCTTAAGAGATACAGTAAATTAAAATCCACATAAAGCAAACATTTACTTCTTTGTAATATGACTGCTGAGGTCCCTAGGGAAATTAAAGGACAGTTGAATATGAAACTTTTATTTGTGGAAGATCATCAGTAAACTTGAACACATCAAAAACTTCCCTTTTATAGAAATATTTGTCTGCCCTTATCCATGTTGTATATGTACTTCATATAACTATTTATACACAAAAATTATGTTTAAAATGTAATCGATACATCATTTCAACTGTAATACACATTTGACTGGTGATGCATGGGTAATTCATAATGCTATATAAATTATAAAAAAGTACATATAAGGCCAGGGTATAAAATCTTAAAAAGAAACCTAATATATTTGAAACATAAAACTTGCTGAAATATTGCATGATATTCAAACAAAGCGTAACAGATATTATTGATTAGAACACAACTTTGCTGCTGGTGCTGGGGTATTTCAGTTTGTCAGAACAACACCAACAGATATTATTGATTAGAACACGACTTTGCTGCTGGTTCCATGTCTGTTGATAGAAGCGGACATACGAACACATTTTCGTATTTTTTGAGAGTCGAATATGATTAGTGGTCAGTGGCGGAAATATGAAATATATCACAAAATAATATTTCAGGAAGATTATGCAAAAAAAAATGTTAGCATTTAAGCAAGCTCAGTATGTAAAAATCACAAACAAAAAACTATTAACATTTAACTAATTTACATACATAAAATTACAAAGTGGTTATTGCTTGTTCTGTATATGGAAAACATAATAAATAATTCACACTTATAACACGAACCAGTACAGATTTTATTAAACACTGAAGAATTATAAATTATATTTAAAAATGTATTAACAGACCAATTTAATATGTTTAATACTGATTTAAATATATTCAACTGATCAATATTTTTTTCATCAAGCAATACTTTCAATTACAATTCATCACTCATATAGACATACACCTACCTTTCAAACAGATTTTCTTTCGCTTAAGAATAAGAGATGTTATGTTAACTCGGGATCCAGCTGTTATGTTCATATGAAGATTAATATTCACCTCTTCACTCTTCTTACCAGTGCATGGAAGAAAAAGACGAAATACTGAAAACAGAGAAGAAACATCTCTTAACTGATTTTTTCCAACATTTAACAAAATCATATAAAAATTGATATATAAATATATGTGGTAAAATATGGAAAACAATGGAAAAATAATTCCTTTCAAGTATAGAAAGCGTGATGCAGTTTTTTCTACATCTCCTCAGTTCTTTATAATACAAACATATGAGTGAACTTCATACTACGACACAATACATCTTGATAAGGAAACCTACTCATGCAGTATGACTAATATTAAATATGCTAATAAGCTACATGTTACTTTTGAAAAAATGGTCTAAATGTATCTAAGATTTGTACACATATTCTTAACCTTCATGTTCATGAATGTAATATTTGTTTGATAAAATATAATAATGTTTTACATATTAGTTCAAAATCTTTACATAACAAATGTACTCTGATACTAGCAGCTCTGAGGTAAAAACACATTTCCACTAATTAGAGGTATAAAATATCCGACTTTTGAATAAGACAAATAATGAAAATTAGTACTATAGGTTTTGAACTATGTTATTGTATAACGTATTTCTTTTATATATTTTGCATAAACAGATGAGTATCCAGAGAGAGATTGTACTGTGTATCATCTGCTACTCCACTTTTTGAGCCAATTAATTAACATGACATAATATAATGTTTAGGGACAACAAGGGCTCTATTGATCCCTCTGAGTTGTCCCATCCTCTAAACTAAAACTTAAAACCAACCCTTATCATTCATATAGTTATCAAGCTTTCTCTTAAGCTCACGTAAATTAACTGCCTCCACATCTAGAGTCAACCCATTCTGGAGGCCAGCCACCCTGTTAGAAAAATAAAACTATCTTAGCTGAAGATGACTCCTACCTTGCCAAAATTTATTGTTGTGTTCCCTAGTCCTACTATTCTCGACGTTGGGTATGAAAAGATGATGCATCTACACCATCAATTCCCTTTACAATCTTAAACACCCCAATCAGATCCCCTCGAAATCTATTTTCTTCAAGAGAAAACAATTTCAATTAATATTAACTTAAAAATCGTCTTAAGCATTGTATATATAATTAGAAGGACACTCAGCAGAGTATATATATTACTTATACCCGAACAAGTTACTGATTGTTCATAATTAGGCATAAAATCATATATTTTAATTCTATTTTCATTTTATTATTTGATAAATTAAAGATTGTAGTATTTCAGAAATAGCTGAAACCAATAAATCATAATGATGTATATAGTACCAATGTAAACTCACCAATTAACATTGTTCCATTCCAATCAGTACCTGTAATACCAAAATAATGTAAATTTAGCTATATTAAATGTAATCAAAAATAATTTTTGGGCTTGGCTCACGCTTGCTTAACAGGAATTATCAAAGTTAAAATCAAATATTCATGAACGTAGATTGAATTGCCACTAATAGCTGTTCATGTACTTGTAAAAAAAAGATAACGTTAGCACATATAATATGATTACAAAGTAAACCACTCACAAAATATTAAAAAATTATGAAAACTGGTTAACTAGAAAAACTTGGAATTTTCACTTTAACCATAATTGCCTCAGAATTTTATGTCAGCAGTTAGGAGATTTAAGCTGAACCTAAGTTATAATATTAAAAATTAATGTACATTTCCTGATTATATTTTAGAAAATGTTGTGTAACTTTCAGGTTTTAGAGAGATTTTTATCTCGCATTGGGCTCTTCAAAATAATTTATACTAAAATATAGCTCTTCTTGGAATTGTATCATTTTTGAAATTGCAATTAGCTTAATTTGTTGTTCATAACTTAAACATCAATGTACTGTTACGCCTCCAATCGTTAGTTAATTTTCCGTAAATTC